TCCATAGAAACTTTATGTTTGCTATGGCTATTTCGCTATATATATATATATACAAAAGAAGCAATGTATAATCTGTTTCGATATACATATACAAAAGAATCAATTGTATAATATGTGTTCGTATAAAACGAGAAAGAGTGAAAGACAAAAGAAAACTGGGCAGGGGAAGATCGTATTTGTATAATCATAAGTGTATAAGACGAAAATATATGCATTTGTATTTGTATATACAATTTTCTCTCGCTTTATACAAACACAACGCAATGTATACACTTGTGTTTGTATAAAGTGTGAGAGGCGAGTGAGAGTGGCGAGCGAGATCTGGGAGAGTAGCGAGCGATATCTGAGAGAGGGTAACGAAAATATATGTATATATATATAATTTTCTCTCGCATTATACAAACACAAACACATTTTATACATTTGTGTTTGTATAAAAGCGAGAGAGGCGTGTCAGACTGCCAAGCGAGAACGAGAGTGGTGAGCGAGATTCACCATGGAGAGAGGCGAAATAGAAACAGTTTGCTACGGGGTACAATTAAATCAAACTATGGATATAACATTTACTTTGAATTCATAGTTGTATAAATTTTAGGAATCACATAGTTTTTATATGAAATTACAATCTATCCCTATTTAGTTTGTAATTACATTAATCTCTGAAAAAATAAAACAAACCGGATACATAATATGTAGCTCGGATACATTAAAAACTAGCTAGGATACATAATATGTAGCTCAAATACATTAAAAACTAGCTCGGATACATTATAAAATAATTTAGAATTAGGAGAGAAATAAGAGATTTTAGAGATTTTTAGAAATAGAAGGGAATATTAGAAATAAGGGAAACATAAGACGTGTATTTCAGTAATTTTTTCTTAATAGTTTGCTATTATATACAATTTTCCCAAATTTAGATATGAGCCTTTCTCAATGTTTCGAGTCTTTTGCTATATTATTTACTAAATAAATTGATGTTTGCACCACTTCACTTGCAATTGAAAAGTGCCAAAGGATCATTTTCAATAATAATAAAAAAAAAGATTATTTTGGATAAAATTTGTAAAGGAGGAGTCAGTTTGCTTAATTATATCTATTTTAGATTAAAGCATAAAAACTGAATGTCCGAATGAATCAAGTATGACATTTACATTGTATTTAGTGATAAAAATTTGAAAACACTACATAATGAGAATTTTGAAAAAACGAAACAAAATATGTACAAAATTATTTCTTACTTCAAACTAGTTTTGAACTATTTATAATACATGAATTTTTTATTTTTTTTACTTTCTACTTTGTAATAAAATTTAAATTATTATTTTCCCCAAAAAAAATTAAAATTATTAAGTGATTGAAAATTTCTCCTATATAGAAGAGACAATTCAGTAACTTTCGACATGGCTGGTTATTGGTCATTTAATTGGCAAGTGAGGACATTTTTGTCATTCCAACTTTTCAAAGTGAAAAGTATTGCATAGAAAAATTGTACTATCAGCCTTATTATTTGGGCCTTCTTAACATCTTTAGAAAAAAACCTATACTTTTCTACTAAATTACAGATGAGCAACTTTCACATATATCAAACATAAAAAACCTATTTGTATGATATATCTATAGTTTGCATAATTGGGTTCCATAGCAAACATAAATATGTATATTTCACTATACATATACAAAGAAAACAGTTGTATAATTCGCTATGCATATACAAAGAAAGCAATTGTATAATTCACTATACATATACAAAAGAAAGCAGTGTATAATCTGTTTCGGTATACATATACAAAAGATCGATTATAAGATCAATTGTATAATTTGTGTTTGTATAAAGCGAGAAAGAGAGAAAGACAAAAGAAAACTAGGCAGGGGAAAATTGTATTTGTATAATCATAAGTGTATAGGACGAAAATATATGCATTTGTATTTGTATATACAATTTTCTCTCGCTTTATACAAACACAAAGTATACATTTGTGTTTGTATAAAGTGAGAGAGGCGAGCGAGATCTGGAGAGTGACGAGCGAGATCTGGAGAGTGACGAGCGAGATCTGGAGAGTAGCAAGCGAGATCTGGAAGAGGGGAGAGAGGGGAACAAAAATATATGTATATATACAATTTTCTCTCACTTTATACAAACACAAACGCATTTTATACATTTGTGTTTGTATAAAAGCGAGAGAAGCAAGCGAGACTGCCACCAAAACGAGATGGCAAGCGAGATTCCACCAGGGAGAGAGGCGAAAATAGCAATAGTTTGCTATGGGGTACAATTAAATCAAACTATGATTATAACATTTAATTTGAATTAATAGTTTGCTATTATATACAATTTTTCAATTAGAGATTATGCCTTCTATCATTGAGTATAGTGGGGTCCATTTAATTTTATCATTGACACGTATACAATGTCACGCATTGTAAAAGAAAAAAAAATACATATTAAATTGTTTAAATTTAATATAGTTACATAATTTAATAAAATTTTATTATTTAGCTTTTATATTCAAAACAATTTATTTTTTAATATTATATATATCATTAAATAACTATATAAGATTATTAATAGTCATATTTATATTTTTAAAGTATAATTAATAAAATTAATTTTTAAAAATAAACTCCTAATAAATAATTTATTAAGAAAAATGTCAAATTAATTTAAATCAAGTATATGTTTATTAACTCGACGTAAGTATTCAAATAATATTTCACCTTTGTGAGGTGTAAATACAATTCACCAATATTTAATTATTAGAGTTTATATTATACACACAATTTATCAGCGTAAAAAGATAAGAAATCATAGCATGTTTTTCTTTGCAAGTAAGTTTTTTTTTTATTGAACTTTCAATACTTTTGCAAGATCAATAAGAATTTTTTCTTTTTGAAAAATATTGAATTGCTTTTTATTATTAAAATGACGTTATGGAAAGGGCAAAAAAACACATTCTTTCTTTTAAATTATGTGGTATAATTTAACCAAAAATATACTTCCTTTATTTGATTTTTGTGAAGTAATTTAACTAAATATTGATATACTTTCTTTTTACTCTTTGAAATATTAGGGAATTTTACTTTGGAATAAAAAAACTCTATATCAACATATTTGGGGTCCATAATTATAGGTTCTAATGTACAAGATTTTGATAAATTAAAATCTTTAAAGTTAAAACTATTTTTAAACATAATAATGTTTTAAAAAAAATTGAAAAATTAATGTCATACAAAAAAAATAAATTATGATTTCTTCAATGAGGGGTTTGACCCTTACTCTCGAGAGAGAATTAACTATAAGGTTGCAAAAATATCAATGCTTATTATAATCCTAAAATATTCTCTCAGTTACTATTTATATGTCACTATTTTCCTTTCGCTTATGTAAAGAAAATATACATACCTATCTTATAAAACTTGGCTCCAACAATTAATATATAATTTTGATATATATCTATGTGTCACACTTGCTATGTACTTAATATACAATCTTTTATATATGTGTCACACTTGCTATGTTGGGCCCGAGCTGCCATCCACTTCTAGTAATTAACAGAGATTACAGTCATTTTAAATATTTTTTTGCCCTATTTCATTTTTACCCCGTAATGATAGAGATATGTGCAGGAATTTCATTTTTTCTAACCTAAAAAGTTGAAATAGATAACTGAAACTTAGTCCGATTAAATTAGTCCAATTAAAATTATAGTCGGAATCTACTTCAAATAAGTTCAAATTATATCTATTTTTCCTTTCTTTTTGAGTTTGCAGTGGATTCAAGTTAGCTCCGCAAATTCAAAAAAGGGGGATACCAGATTCAAAGTTAACTATAATCAAAGCTTTGCGTTCGATGCTGCCATATGAAGGTAAATTTACTTCTTCATATCCTCCAGTTGTAGAATGTTTTTGTAGCAGCGCCTACCAGGTGTTTGAGTTTTTGCCCAGTTGAGTTATGACGCCTTTGTTATTTCGGAAATTGAAGAAAAATATTTTATTCATAAACTGCTGAAGTATTATTGGGAAGTATAAAAATACTGATGTAAATTTGAGTGTATAAAGTATGAGACTCTAATAATTTCTACAATTTACGCATAAGGGATATTAATTAGGTGCACAACTTAGGTTGGGCCTATTGATGACAATGAACTCTATACCGTCAAAAAATTTGGTCTTAGCCTTTGTTGTGCACTAAATGCTGCTTCTTTTTCATTATCAAACCAAATGAGATTCATATGATCAATGCAAGATCTTCAGAGCATGGAAAAATCCAAGTTATGTAGTGTATGTTTCATCTAAGAGGAGCTAGATAGTACCATTAATCGAGTCTGCAACCTACTTGTTCAACCTTTGATCGAGCACGACATTCTTTTGATTGGTCAATTTATGACTATGGTACAATGAGTTAAAAAAAAGAGTGGAAAGCAACACTAAATCACTATAGTACATCTCTTAGAAGTAGGTAGCAATATAGACAGCTAAATCATTAAAGCATATATGGAGAGCTGCATGTGTGAAATCCTTGAAGAGCTCCATCTACACTTATGGAGGGCTGAGTTCTTTGTTAACTGCTGCCTTTTCTGAATTGCAATATGTTTGCTTTCTTTCACAAGGTCATGCTCTGCTTGATGAATTCTTTATTTGGATCATTTAAGTTGTTTTACTACTTCGTTACTGCCAATACTTGTATGACAAAATGCTTTAAAGCATGACCTTTGGAACAACCGTTTCATAGATTTAAGTTGAATTATGTTGGAGATAAAAGGACACAACATTTCATGAACTGTATAATACTATAAGATGTTTCTTACTCTTAATACTGGTAACTTTAGCAAAGACTTCATAGGCATATTCTCTACTGTTGCAAAATGCAATTTCATTTATACTTTTGAAATTTTGTACCTGGTGTCTGTTTTTCTAATGATCATGTGTTGTGTAACTGGTTTATTGCAATTTTTTGGGTGCAATGTTGGTTCTCCAAACAGGTGTAAATCAGAATATCTTGAATTTAGAGTTTCTTTTTTTTGCTGTGAACGTGAATAATGGGGTCAAGGTGGAAAGGAAAAGGAGCAGAAGTTCAAGCTCTTGCAGATCCCATTTCAGAAATAGTCAGCCAACTCCAATCTTCTCTGATCAGCTCCAATTCTAAAGGACTGCTTTCTGGTACGGGTGTGCTTCTTAAAGCAGATGCAGAACTAACTGACCTCCTCAATCGTGCATGTTTTGGTAGGCCTAGGGTAACATTAGAAAAGAATGAGCAATGGTTTCAGCTCTCCACGGAAGAAGCTTTTTATCTTCAACATTCTCTAAAATGCATTAAGATTGTTGACCACAATGATACTGAACTGAACGGTGACGAGTTATGGAAGCATATGACATCAAGCAGGGAAAATTTTCCTATCCTATTCAAAGCTTTTTCTCACCTTCGAAGTAAGAACTGGGTGGTTAGATCGGGCTCTCAGTATGGGGTAGACTTTGTTGCCTATCGTCATCATCCTGCCTTGGTACATTCTGAATATGCTGTGCTAGTTTTATCAGCACAAGATGGTAATGCAAATGGCCGCTTGAAGGTTTGGTCCGACTTCCACTGCACTCTTCGCCTTTGTGGTAGTGTGGCGAAAACATTATTAATTCTCAACATTGAAGAACAGCAAAGTTGTGCAACTTCTCCGTCGTGCTTAGATAATTATGTTGTTGAAGAGAGAACAATCACAAGATGGAGTCCAGAGCAAGGCCGTGAGAAAAATGTTAAATCTGACTCAAGAGTAAAGTAGGTTGACTGATTCAAGATTAACTCCTACTTTATCTTGTTCTAGTTTAGTAATTGTATTGTGATTTAAAAGCACTATGATTACTACTCTGTAAGCCGTGTTTAATCTACCTATTTGTTGTAGGCATTTTGGGCTGACTTTATGCCCAGTAGAAATGGTAAACAATCCTTTGTTATTGCACTTAAAACAAGTTGTTGCATTGGGAAAGAACTAACCTATTCCAAAAAATCAGTTCAAAGAGAACCCAGGCATAAAAAGTTTTGGAGAATCAATTGAAAAATATAAGATATATAGTCAATTTTCTTGGGGGAAAAGAAGGGGCAGGTGAAGTATGATGAAAGCATTTTGTTCTAACAAGATAGCAATGACAAACATAGGAAAAATACATTACAAGCTTTACTGTCTTGTCATGTGGAAGCTCTTAGAAGTGTATCCTGCTTGGTTGAGATTTCTCCATCCTGGTTTCTCCATAAGGCTCGTCATTATCGATCCGTTTGTTGTGCCTAAAGGCTGCTATTGCAACCATATACATAATCACAAGAATGATCAATATGACAATGTTGATGACAGACACTTTCCTCCAACTCTTTTTCAGACTTGCCAGAACACCAGCTTTGCAAGAGTTGCAGTTATAGCAGAGTTGCTGTTGATAATTGCTCCATCTACCACAATCAGGATCACTTCCTACGATCCCGCTTCCTGGGTTCCACACCGTCTCATTCAGGTAAGTGTACCCACATTCTGTAGGGGGTTTGCAACAACCAGACTACATAAAAAGTTCAAAACTATGTCAAAAAGATTGTTTTTAAGTAACTTCCAAAAGATTTGAACAATGAAAATAGATGGCAAATGCATGTCTGATCGAATTGATCAAGTCATGTAGGAACAAGGTTCAAATCTATTTGCCTGTTTAGGTATGCCTAACCTGCATGCATCACTCAACACACGACTGAAGCACTAATGGTTTATGAATCCATCATCAAGGATCTTAGCTAAGCACTTTGGGCTTGTATAAATGTTAAAAGCAAGAATAGTCATACCCATATAGCAATAAGGAGAATCAAGCAGCTATACTGTATGATCCTCAATTCAATAATTTGGCGACAGCTTGGGATTTTCAAGGAAGAGTCCCGATCCAAGAAAAGAAAAATGAAGATACACATCGAGGTAGGTGAAAATATTTCAGTGAAACTACACGTCATTCCTCATTAGTTGAGATCGAATATATGAATCTTGTGTATTCATCCTATTCTATTTAGATCAAATGATTCATCAAGATAGACTATTTTTACTTTCTTCATCAACCTACAACTACTCTTAGGATTGGCTACATTTTGCTAAGTTCAAACAGACACAGTTAATTCTGTGTTAGACATTTAAGTATCTAGCACACATAGCCTCTCTTGCTCTTCAAAGAGCACATATGTGATATGTCAATAATTGGGGGGCCTAACTTTTGGAGCTTGCTGGAAAAGTTAGGCTTCAATCTTTTTCCAAAACAAACTATAGTCATTCACATCAACATCAACCTTGTGAACACTATTTTCTTTTGGTAGTGATAGATATTTTTTAAGATTATTTAATATTAGACACTGATTGAAGCAATAAGTGTTTTCAACACCAAAATGTCCGCAACAGTAAAATTTATCTGCACACGATGTAATGCCACTTGCAAATTAGATTGAAGACATACTATAAAATTTCTTTTTTTTTTTTTTTTGACATGTTGATCTATGTTACATCAGGGAAATATGTGGTTAAAGTGACATAAACTAGAAAAAGTTTGTCTTTTGTTTTCTTTTTTTACCTTGGACCACTTGAAAAGAGGATATTCTACCAAGAGAAGTAAAGCAAAATGAATAAAATCAAGATGAGTCCAAAACAGCTAACATCCAGATTCCAGACTCATAAAACATGCATTTTGTCACAGGTCAAAAGCACCACATTATTGCAGCAAAAAATATCTACCTTTTAAAATTGTGGAAGCATTCATTAGACAACAATAGAAAAGTTGGTAAAATGTCTCGTCACTAAATATAATAAAGATTAAAAAAAGTGGATAACCCTAACCACATTGAAAAGCCAAGAGAGGAAAAGAAACCCCCAGAGAATGTTAATTCTAATTGTCCCCACTTTTTGTTTTGTCACTGAGGAAGCAAATATTTTTCCTACTTTATATTGGAGTCAGACTATTTTGGATTCGTGTTAGGCAAGGGCCCTTCAAGGATAGCACTCCATTTTTTATACCCAAAACTCGATTCAGGAACCTCTTGATCAAGGGAGCAACAGCCCATCCACTGCACCACATCCGTTGGTGCTAGTGAGGAAGCTAATCATTTCATTATGCACATGATTATTATTATTATTTGTATAAAAATCATATTAAATTCAATCAGTTGAAGTTGGTTGCTTTTCTCTGTTTTTTTTTTCTCTCTTTTTGTTTTATTTCCTTCTTGGTAGGTTGGAAATTGACAAGAGGCATATCTGTTGGCAACTCACTTATCTATAATCTACACATAAATATGTTAAATAATTGTGCATAGTTGGGACAGTAGCGTCAATTCCCTAAAAACAGATGTACATGCAGAGTGTGCTTGTCCGAACAGAAAATATTTTTTAGAAAAACAAAAAAATGTTCAAGTAAATATTTTTTAATGTTTGATAAGTGAGCAAATTAAAATTATCCGAAGAGCATTTACAAACATTGCAGAGGTGAGGTTGTGTCAGGGGCAGAGGGGATGGGGTGGTCAAGGGGCAAAGGTTAGGAGCGGATGATTAACTTAAAATGTCACTAAAAAAAGTCATATTTTATATTTTTCAATATTTATGCCACTAGAAAAGTCATTTTTTTCAGAAAAATGTTCTCCGAAATATTTAACAAACTAAACATGAAAAAGTTAAAAATAAACTAAAATACAACACCTACATATAAGTGTAATTCAATAAGTGAAATTATGCAGTTTACTAATCATATTTTTTTAAATATCAGTGTCCACACCTCGACTATATTCCTATGAGGCTAATCATGTTTCATATTGATGTTAAAACAACAAACAAGAAAATAATCAGGAGCAAAACAAATTATATTTTCCTCTTAAAACATTATTCATAGTAGAACTCAAATCATATAGTACCATAAAAACAGAGTGAAAACTAACCACAAAAATAAAAAAAATAAAAAAAATCTTTAACACTTACCTCAAGAGGACTAAGCCTTCTAAGATTAAACACCTCAACAGGCTCTGGAATTCCTCTATTATAAGTCCTTCTCATCTTACCACAAACATGAGAATCCCTAATACAAGAACTGATTTTTGACCAATAACTCTGACTTGCAACTCTTTCTTCCAACCACCCAGAGTAATCTTCCAAATGGTACTCTGAGTAGACCCGGTTCATAACGGGTCGACCCGACCCTTTATCAGTGACAGCATAAGCAAATATGACAAATCCAATCAAAGCAGCAATGATAAAAAACATAACCCAAAGGTAAAGGTACATAAGGAAAGTGTTTCTATAACAAGCACCAGCAAAACCTGCTAAAGAAACAACCATAATAGAACCCCAATAACTATTAAGGGCCACTGAAGAAATTTTAAGCAATCTGTGTTGTTTGCTCTGCTACTTAACCATATTCCACCACCCAAGATTGGGATTGATGCAAGAAATGTTAAGAAATTTACTAGACCTATTAAATGGTTACTGGTTCTCATAGTGAAAAAGCTCTGTTTTTTATTTTTTGGGGTGTCTTGTATATGTACTTTCTTGAAAGTTTTTTTTTTTGTTGTTGATATGAGAGTGTTTTTGAATGAAGAAAAAGGAAGTGTCTTTCTTTATGAGTACTGTGGAAAGAACAGAGAAAAGATGAGGGTCTTTCCTATTAAAATCTTGTTTGGATGGTTGTTAGCGTTCTATTGTATTATTAATTTAAATATAATGTTTATTAATTGTTTTTAAATTTTATTGTATGTTTAAATCATCATTAAGTTACGATGAATTTTATTTATTTTTTTGTGTAGTGACTGATTTGGTGTGAATTTTTTTTTTATCTTGTCTTTACTCTATCTTTTCATAGTGTATCTATTGTATACTATTTTTTTTGTTATTGTGCAACATTATGTAATAATGAAGAATAATACAACCTTTCTAAATATTATTAAAATAATACTATACAATATATTATGAAGTATACTTATCAACTATCCAAACAGAGTGCAAGTGATGGTAAGCAAAAGGGTAAGTGTGAAGTGAAGTGACAGAAGCACCCTTTTTATTTGTCAGCATCCTACCTAGTCCCTGCATTTGACTTGGTACAGTTGAGATGATGAATGGGTAAATTTTTGTGCTATGTTTTTTTTTTAAAAATAAAATAAATAATTTGTGTGTTTATGAATTGAATTAAAGAAAATAATTTTTTTAATTTTGTGTAAAAATAGGATTTTTTTTTAAAGAAAAGGAAGATATAAATTAAAACAATTTCATAAAGAGATACCGAAAAAAAAAATCTCCCAAAATCTCCCCTTTTCTTAAGAGTGTTACTCTTCTTCATAATAATAATAATTAGGGTAAAAAATGGAGTGAAATATGGTAAAAGCTTAACATTTTCTTAAAAATATTGATAAATTGTGTTTCTAATAACTTATACTATCAGTTATGGAATGTGGCAAAGTGGTAAGTAGTTATTTCATCATTAATCAAAGACCTCAGGTTTGAGCCGTGCTATAAAATTGCCTTTGGTTAAGGAGCGTTTTAATAAATAAGACTCCAAACCTCAAGACGGACACATGTGAAAAATAAAAAATAATAATAAATTTATATTTTATAAAATGAGATGGTGATTTGCTCTTTTTCTTTATTTTTGGGTTCAAGGGTCATGAGAGGGTGATAAAGGTTGTTACATAGACGTAATTAGGATCACTAGGACAGTATGACGAACATTTGTCTTTCCCCACACACACCCCAACCATGAACCAACCCCTTCTGTCAATATATATATATAAGATGATTTATGGAGATACTTGACGTTGTCTTTTTCTTGACCTCAAAGATTAAAGTGTTTGATTGAGTGAAGTAAAATGATTATAATTAAGTTGATCAAAGACTAATTGCATGATGATCAAAGTCAATAAGCCATTTATGGATGAACTCTGGCGGAACCGTATTGGTGAATTTAGTACAAAGTCTTCTATTGAATTAATTAATATTTGAACTTTAAAACTGATAACTTTAGTTACAAATTAATTAAACTTATCTCATGTATCAAGAATTAGTAGTTACGTACTTAGTAGCTTTGAAAACAACAGCGCTTGCTATTAATTGATGTCAAAGAGAATTAAACATTTCGCCTATAAAAACAAAACATTAAGTTTTACTTTATTTAAGTAAATGTAATTTTCGAATAAGGAGGAGGGTCAATTAAACCGCCACTTTGCTGAGTCCCATATCCATCCATTATGATAAAGGTTGTAGTGGTTTTTTTTTTAATTAAAAAATTGGAACCATATAACAAATTCCTGAGTTGGCAATGAGACTTAAATATGCAATAAAAAAGATACAGAGAAAGTGTCATGCATGTAAATTAAATATTAATTATGAGAGCACCTAACCTAATTATAATTTAGCTCTATCATATATGTTATCTTAGGCAATTCATATATTTTCCCTCAGAAATGACACGGGATCATTTAATTTGCGAACTAAATTATTTTAAAATTATATTTTTTAATTATAATTCTGCAATTAATTTACCTTATCTATCTTCGCCGGTTTCCTGAGTCCATATATATCCATTATCGTAAAGGACTAGCTTTAATTTATGTAGTGGCTTATCTTTTTTCATTTAAAAATTTGAACTATATAACAAATTCCCAAGTTGTTAATGAGCCTCAAATATGCAATAAAAGATATTGCGAAAGTGTCGTGCATGCAAATTAAATACTAACTATGACAGCACCTAACGTCCTAACCTAATTATAATTTAGCACTATCATCATCTAGATAGGTTGTCTTCCTTGCGTATTCAAAATTTTCATAAAAAGGATTTAAAAAATCAAATCATGTAATGCATAAAATTTGGACTTGAAACTTCAAAATAATTAATTTTAAATTCAAAATATCTCTATCTATACTGAATTTTTTTTAACCTTATATATAACTTCATTTTTTGTTGAAGAGATACGGATGAACACCCCTCTAATCCCGCCCCGGATTGTCTTTGGCCATATCCTTATTACGAAATGACCCTCTTATAAAGATACATGAGAATTTTCTTTTCAAATTTTAAATTGGTGAAAGTACATACTACATAAATTAAAATTAGCGATAAGTAAATTTGTTAGCAAATTTATTGTTAATTCTATTTAATGACAAATTAGCCATATTTTATCAAAATAAATTGTTTGCTGTAAATAATTTAGCACGGAGTTCGTACGTAGTGGTGGAAGTGAATATTATGTTTCACACAATAAAAAATATTGAAGGTTTTGCAAAATACAAAATGTAATATTATATGAGCTACGCATATATCCAAGCATAATGTCCATTTATTTGTAAAAGCTAACACAACGGGGTAGATAATTTTTCCAAATATCTATAAAGATTCATTTGTTTATTGGAAGTCGATGTGGGCTTTAATAGCTGGGTGGGCCAGAAACGTATATGGTACTGCAATAGCCCATACTTATGGGCTTGGTCTTAGCCCAAAAACTATGTTGGGCCCTGAAACTCCCAAATCCAGCTAGCAGCTTTTCACTTCCAGTTCCAGTTAATACTATTTTCATCATTGGTCCTTTTTTATGTAAAAATATTTTTAAATTTATATTTTTTTACAAGTAGTTTTAAGGATGTATCAAACATTTTTACCAAACCTATTATTGATGTTATCAGTTTCAATACTTCTATTTAAATACACTATTACGTATTTTGATAAAATCAGTTTCAAGACCTAAAAATCATATTTTTCAGCACTTGATGTAGATTGTACTCCTTTAAATCAATTTTAAGTGTTTAACCCATAGTCAGTGAAAGAACAAACAAAGTCAAACTAGACAAAATTAAATGAATTTGTGATACAAAATAAATTAATTAAGTATTTGAGAGATGATTAATTAGATGGAATATGGCGCATTTTTATATTAACGAAGAATTGAGTTTAGCTAGGAAGGAGTGAATGTTGCATAATAGGGTAGAATTAATGCTAGTAGGGGTAGAGTATCGTCTTGTCTTATGAAGGTTTAGTGCATACCTTATGACTAGTCATGCCATGATAGCTAATTCTTTTCAACTTTTCGATTATTACGTTATTTCTCTCTCATATATTTGTGTGGACAACATCCCAGAATAAACTACACATTCAACGTCTGACCTTTCACCAAATTAACTTATTAGTGTTCAAGATTGCAACATTGTTGGATCAGAATTCAACTGGGCGGTGGTTTGCTGGAACATGTTTTCTTCCTACCACATCATAAATCAGCAGCTGAGCGGTCTCTGTCTAATAAATAGTAAATATTAGAAACAATGAATTTGGGCAGAATTCAATTAATTCATTCTATCAGGAGAAAATATATGACTGTCCTTCCTAGGTTTGACGAATGTCTTTTTTTGCGTCTCTAAAATATATATGCACGTGGAAATTATGGAAAAAAAAAGAAGAAAAAATACTGCAAGAACAGCTGGAATATTATGCTATCGACATGGAAATTGACATTTATAAAAATTTAAATTTATTTGTACTATTTTTCGGATATTGACATCGTCAAATATTATACGTCGAAATTTCTGCCAAAAAAAAAAGAGATTGCAAGATTCAATTTGGTGTGATATATATGTGTGTGGTGTTGGTGGTGGGGGGGTCCCAGATCCACACTGAGATCGAAACATAATGTCAATTTACTATACTTAATTTTATGGTATGTTTATGTAAAATCAATTTAACTTGTCATGATTTAAAAATTTAGGTGCAGCGAAAAATATATATTAATTAATTAGGGTGGTAGAAGTGTAAATATAAATAGAGGTAGAGCTAGGTGGAGGTTTATGGGTTCAGATGAATTCAATAGCTTTTTTTGTAGACTCCCTATTTATATTAGAAAATTAATTAACTATATACGTATATTATTTGTGAACCCCTAACAAAAGTAATTGACAGTTATTACAGAAATTTAGAACCCTCAAACTCTAAATCTTGACTTCGCCTATGAATATAAACATATATATTATATCATCCATAATATGTTTATTTATTTGATGTAAATACCAAATAAGAAAATATCAAATGGGAAATAATTCTTGACCGACAATATATTAAATTTGGCCGCAAAATCTTGGTCGTTTTAGAATTTACCACAATATTAAAATATTATGATCTTTGTCACGCTGAAATCTCAGTGTGGATTTGGTTAGGCAAGAGAAGAGAGATCTAAAATCTTAAAATCTACCCCGAGATTGGTGCTCATGCTTCATTAAAATTCCATTGTTTTGCTTAGAAAGAAGAGAATAATCCAGCAAATCTCATTAATTATTCCATCCTACTCCCATCGTGACTTTCTTTTCTATTCGTTCACGTTGAACATAGCTAGGCTTCAATAGACAAACAGAGTTGCTCATATAATAAATACCTTTCACATTTAATCTTAAAATTATGAATACGAGTCATAAATGAAGTAAAAAGGTAGAAGTTTCTAAAAATGGATAATAATAATAATAATAAAAGCTAGACTTTAGTATAGTAGACTTGAGGAA